TAGGACTAACAATCTTAACGGTAATATTCTAATTGTGCAGGTGGATTGTAGGCTGCTGATGTCAAGCCCGCATGCTCCTTGGTCTGCTGCTATCCAGTATCATCCTTAATGGGGCCTTCTCGTGTCTGGGCTTCAGTACCCGGTTCATACATAGTACCCGGTTCGTGAGCATCAACTGAAATTCCCAATCTCTTCTCAATCCCTAGCTTTTTACCCCTCGTCTCCAATTCCCCTTTCATGAACCCTACTTCATCGTTTCCCATAACACCATTCTTGACAAGATCGTCTCAAGATTGAACAACTGGTCGACTTGTACGCTTAGCTTTATGGGTCGACTAACACTAGCAAAATATGCCCTATATGTTATTTCCACTTATTTCATGCAGGCATGTTTGCTTCCTGTACTTGTCTACAAATATATTGAGATGTTAATCTGAAACTTCATTTAGGGAGAAAATGCAAGACGCAAGTCTTTCCCTCTTGTTAATTGAAATTCTCTCTATCAATCGTTTAATCATAGAGGCTTGGGTATTAGAAGACAACGAGACCATAATCTCGCTTTTCACATGAAGCTTTGTGATGCTTAGATAAACTCTCCGAACCGTTTATCGGTTCGTCTTCTACGTGAGAAGTACAAGATGACCGAGCTTGTGCTTGCTTCAATCAATAGAACAAGCTGCTATCCTCTTTGGAGGTCACTTGGGAATGTTTGGCCACATTTCAGGATGAATTTTGCTTGGTCAATTGGTGACGGTTCTCTCATTAGCTTTTGGCACGATTTCTGGATCCCTGAACTTGGACCTCTTCATGCTTGAAAGAAATCCCCTCTCACCAATGTAGATTTTTCCCTTGTCAAGGATTTTGTAGTATCAGATAGAACTTCTAATGACTCAGCTGGTGAAGATAAATATTTCTGGAATCATGGTTTCACTGGTGCTTCACGGTCAAGAGCGCTCATCTCCATCTGACCAAGAATTCTTTACACGAGCCTGATTTAATGTGGAAAACCGTTTGATAGCTTTCTGTTCTGGAACGAATTCGGTGTTTTCTTTAGCTAGCAATATGAGATAGAATCCTCTCTAATGTTAACCGCTGTAAGAGACGCTCATGATCCCTCTTACATATCTTGTAGTGCGATTGAAGAGTCTACGATTCATATCCTACGTGATTGCACAGTAGCTAAGAATATATGGACTGACCTCCTCCATGGTCTCAATGCTTCATGGTTCTTTAACCTGTAGGTTGCTGATTGGATAGCGACGAACTTAAAGATTCAGACACCGCATCCAAAATTTGATATCCCTTGGAATATCTTGTTCACTTCTCTCATTTGGAACACATAGAAGCGAATGAACAACAAAATTTTCAAAGGTAAGCGTTCCACTGCAGATTCTCTTCTTCATCAAAATTTGACCTTTGCAAACCAAGTCACTAAAATGAGAAATACTACTGGTTCATCTAACAATGGAAGAGGAATGGAAATTAAATGGTCTCTAGCCCCTAATGGTTGGATCTGTGTCAACACCAATAGAGCTGTTGGTAATAAGGGAGACGTTTCAGCGAGGGGAGCCATTCGGGATCATAATAGCAGCTTCTTAATGGGATTCAACAAACAGCTAGGTTCAGCCTTTGTTATAATGGCCAAACTTTGGTGTGTTCTTGAAGGAGTAAAGCTAGGACGGAATAACGATTTTGAGAAGGTTCAACTTTAGACGGATAGCTCGGATGCCTATGGTTTGCTTAAAATGCATCCTCGAACAATCCATATTCCTTAGTTCGAGAGATAGCGTGCTGTTAAATCGTGCTTGGTTTGTTGATTTTAAACTCATTCGATGTGAGGCCAACATGGTTGCATACTTTTTAGCGAAGATCGAAGGTGATAGCTCTGGCTTGCTAACTACATATGACTCTGCAACTCCAACTATTGTTGCCCTTCTTACGCGAGACATGTTTGGTCCCCCCATGTCCGTCCGGGACATGCCTAATGTATTTACTTAGGCTCATTTCCTATTCTAAAAATAAAATATCAAATTGAAACTTTATCATTTATGGATAAAATATAACTTTATCATTTATGGATAAAATATAATTTTATCATATCATGAAATTTTAGAAATTAAAGGGACAAAAGTAGAATATTTACCATTTTCTGTTTTTTCTAGGAAATTTAGTTGATTTTTTTATTAATCTAGGTAGGTAAAAAATAATATTTGTTTAAATATAACTCTCAATAATTTGACATTAAAGGTTCACACTCCCGATATTGATGGTGCTCGAATCCATGACCTCAAAGAATAACAACAATATTTTTATCACTAAAATCACTTGGTTCGTATCTGTGACATGTAAGATAGAAACTTAGGCAGGAACGACCGAGAAATTCAATAACTTTGACATTTTATAGACGGATTTGTTGGGATTTTCTCGTCATTGTCAACTAATACGGCAGGTAAGGCAAAACACACATGACGAATTACTATTAATTTGAATGACATTCAATAAATATAGTGATGATGAAGACATTGTTTTTCTTTGAATCTATACCAAACAAGAAGACATTTATTTTTAAAATATAAAGGAAAAAGAGTCGTCAATCTTGAACCGGCAAACAAATAAGAGTAGAAAACGTATGATTTCAAATTTACAGTCTTTTCCAATTGATTTGGAAAACGTCAATGCAAGCGTTAGGGGCCGCGTTCGATTTAGTCGAATTAAAAAAAAATTATGTTATTTGAGTTGATGAGAAATTTAAATTTTATTTGAAATTTTTATGAGTCGAGTTTATAAAATTCAAGTTGAGTCGAGTTGTTTGAGTTTTTGTTTAAATTTAATTATAAATATTTATAATATTATGATATTATTTTATTTCAATTTAAACAATATTCTATAACCATATACAATACACATATTTTTTCATATGTGATATGCATATATCATACAAAGTTGAGTGTCTCGACTTAAACTTAAAAACTAATATACCAATTATTAAAAATTTTGAGTTATTCAAGTTACTATTTTAGTTATTCTAGTTTTATTTTACAACTCAACTTGAATTTAAATTTTTTTTTAGTCGAGTTTATAAAATTACGAGTCAGTTTGAGTAGAATTTTTTCAAATAGAATCAAGTAAAAAAAAATTGACCTTTTGAATCAAGTTGAGTTTTCTTTATCTTGACAAGCGTGCATATAAAATACTAATGCTTAGAGGGGAGAAAAGAAAAGAAAAGAAGAAAGAGTGTAATTATAAAATATTTTGGGTTCGTTTCGTTCTATAAAATATATGTTATTTTTATTTTCTTAGAAAATAGAAAACGTTGTGCCGAAGCAGTCTTTTTCTTAAGAGCGAGGGAACGAGATTATGAAAACACGTCATTTTTAATTATTCTTCTTACGATTGAATTTTTAATTAAAAACAATGTGATTTTAGAAAACTCTCGTTTCGAAAAAAAATTGGAAATTCCTTTACAATAAAAAAAACATACGGTTCCAGGAGTCGCCACCAATCTTTGATTAGGGTGTGATTGGGCACCCAAAAACCGTTTTGTCATTTTAAATAAAAATTAATTTTAATTAAAACAATAAATTGGAGTCTGCATTACCAGAAAATGAGTTCCGGAGTCGATTACACGTGGGGAAGGATTAGCACCCCACAACGCCCTAAATCGGTACCTAATCGATTAATTAACGTCTTTGCAATGAATTTTACAAGTTCAACTTTAATTTAATTTTTGATCCCTTAAAACAACAAGAATGTGAATTTTATTACATTCAAAAGCAACGAAATATGTTAAATTAAAATTACCAAGTCATTTGAAAGATAAAGAATATTCGATTATTTAAAAATATTGAGACCAGATCTTTCGGTCAGTTCTAACGACCTTTTCTCAACAAATTTAAATAGTCGAACATTTCTTTTTCTTTCACTCCCAAATTTTAAAGTAAAGAATCAAAATTTTTTAGCGACAATGACGGGATACACTTGTAATTTAAAATCGTCAAGAACAACTTTCCTGTAAGTTAAGAAAAACCATTTTAATATTTTTAAATTAAAAGGATATTACCCTTAATCCAATTATGTGGTTAGATCAAGTAATGCACGTAAAGCTATCATACATATTATGCAACATGATGTTAATGCAAAAATTAATTAAACAAATATTATGATTGAAATATCATGCAATGTTATTTTACTACCAACAATTATATACATATTTTATTTTCACGTGTTATACCATATATATATATATATATTAATATACAATACATCAATGTTACTAAAATAAATAAAAGGAAACATAACACTTAAAAATGTAAAGTTAAGAAACTAAGTAAATTATTTAAACTAGGTATTAAATGATAAAGAATATAAATTTGCCATTTTAACTAAAAAATAATATTAATCTCATTTACTTAAAGCTAAAAATAAAATATAATTATATAATACATACATGCATAAAAAATGCACATACCCCATACAAAACAATAATATAAATGTCACTACTTAAAAATAAAACTTAAATATACTGTAAAAAGCCTAATCTTAAACTTAATACTGCCAAAAAGGATGAAAATAACAAATAATGAAGTTAGACTTCCAAAATGTAAATTGAATAGTACCTTAATTAAACATATTATGTAATTAAATCATAAAGTAACAAAGTTACAGACCAAATATAATAACAATCATAAAATGAACAAAACCATAAACTTAAGACTAGAAAGACAAACACTTAAATATGAATACCAAAATAAAAACATGAAAGATTCGATTGAAGAACTAAAACATAACATGTCTAAAACTAAAGGATTTCACACACTATTATCCCATGTACAAAATGCGTACAAATTAATCCACTGAAATACATATGTTTTGTTTTTCTAATATATATAATATATAAAGTAAAAAACTAAACCTAATTTCATTTGCTTTTTACTTTTCCTTAAAAAAAATCCTATGCGCCATTATCTTCTCCTTCTCCATTCTGTCCCTTTCTTCTTTTTTCTGACTAGATACTCATCGAGGCCACCATGGACTTCCACTACTCCTGAGCTTCGAAGGGTTCTGCAGAGATGAACTAAAAAAACTATACGACCCTAAAGAACCCTGCTTTTTCAACGATAACCCTTGATAGAAAATTACCACCATTTTAGGCCATAAATCGGCCAACTAATGCTATGACCACCACAATAGGTGGTTGGGTTAAATGAAAGCTAGACTTAGACCTAAAAACCAAACTTTTTTCTACCCACAACTTCCTAAATCAACACGTGCAAGATTAAAATCGGCCTCTTATCTGCTACCCTTAACTGTCGAGAGCCTCCCTAAATGACGACTTCGACAACACTCACTCCGGTGAGGCCATACTACACCGACAAGAAGACCAACCACCAGGTAAACAATTAAACTCCCCTTTTTAAATTGTTTTTTTATTTATCATTCTCTCCCTTAATCTTTCGAATAACGTCCATGTTCCAAGGAATACACTGCTCACCGACGCTCGACCGACCACCATACGATGGTGGCACTCCTTACCTCAACTGCCACAGGACTTGACCGCCTAAGGTAACAAAGCTAAATCTATCTCTTTCATTTTTATTTCTTGCTTGGTTCGAATGATAAAAAACCTTGATATTTGATTCTTCAAAAATAAAGGAGAATGGTAGAAAAAATTGCGTATTACTCTTTGTGCAAAAAAGAAATGAAAGGCTTTATTTTATATTTTCATTCATTTCGAAATAAGCACACACACACTGTTAATGCACTAGGAACCATAAAAAAATTTAATGAATGCCTCAAAGATAACATTTATTGTTTTGGAAAATGATAGGGAATTACACTTGTTACAATGCTTTTCTTTCTCTATGTTGATGAAATCCCCTGTTGTTGATGATCGAAACCCCCCGTTTGCTCTCCAGTTGATTTATGGTTTTTCCTTTCGAATGGTTGCCTGTTATTTGGTTCATTTCCCTCTGTTGTTGATTTTTTGGTTGATTCCTCCGAATCCTCTTTTTTTCATCTTTTCTTTTCTTCGAAATTACCCTGAGTTTATCTTCATTTTCTTCACTAAATACCTTGACTTATGGTTGGATTAGGTAGATAAGATGGTGGAAATCCCAGATTTTAAAGGATTAAGTTGCTTTCTTCTTGACTTTGGTTGTGATTTTGGTTGACTGTAGATGATTTGTGTAGTATCAACTTCAATTGTGGCATGATCGAAGGTGGCTCATACGCGTGGATGGGAGCAGCAGTGAAGCACAAACGCATTTCTGGTGGCTGGCGGGTCTTGTAATCGGGTCTGGATCCGGGTCTTGGGCTCGAACCAACATCTTGTATTTGGGTTGATATTTGTAACTCGGTCTTGGGCCTTGTTGGGCTTCTGGGTAATTGTTGAGCCTATAAAATATAATATGTAACATTAATAATAATAATAATAATAATATATAATTAATATTTATAATATTTTTTAAACCCGGTCAAAAATGGGTGTCAACAACTACCCCTCTTTGCCCATTCTTGCGTTAACAATAATAGGGCAAAGACGAAAAAGACAACCAGTTTTTGTCCAGTTCCATCTTCGTGCTTTAAAATTTGATAAAAGATATGCTCCACTATTTCTGCAAAGGATATCAGACTCGAGATTGATTTGATTCACTACTCTTTGGTGAAGGCTTAAAATGGATTTGCTTCACTACTCTTCGGTGAAGGCTTAAGATTGATCGCTTCACTACTCTTTGGTGAAGGCTTAAGATAACTCGGAGGACTTAATCATCATGCTCTGAAGGCTTATTGATGGATTTGCTTCACTACTCTTCGGAAGCCTTACAAATTACCCGAAGGATTTAATCATCATGCTCGAAAGACTTATTGATGTCCCGAAGGACTTATATAGTGCGAAGTATTGGAAACCGCCTTCTTACTTCTCAAAAATTTCATCTTCTTAAAACATCATTTTTGACATTTTTAAATTCATGTGAAAATACCCTACCCAAAGGTCTTATGGATGGCCCGAAGGACTTATCATCTTGCTCTAAAGGCTTACAGATAACCGAATGATTTAAGGATCATGCTCGAAAGACTTACTGATGGCCCGAAGGACTTATAAATTGTGAAATTTTGAAAATCACATTTTTAGTTTTCAAAAATTTCATCTTCTTAAAACATCATTTTTTTCATTTTCAAATTCATTTAAAGACATCCTACCCAAAGTTCTTATGGATGGCCCGAAGGACTTATCATCTTGCTCTAAAGGCTTACAGATGACCCGAAGGATTTAAGCATCATGCTCGAAAGACTTACTGATGGCCCGAAGGACTTATCATCTTCCTCTAAAGGCTTACAGATGACCCGAAGGATTTAAGCATCATGATCGAAAGACTTACTGATGGCCCGAAGGACTTATAAATTGTGAAATTTTGAAAATTGCATTCTTAGTTTTCAAAAATTTCATCCTCTTAAAACATCATTTTTTCATTTTTAAATTCATGTGAAAACATCCTACCCGAAGGTCTTATGGATGGCCTGAAGGACTTATGATCTTACTCTAAAGGCTTACAGATAGATTTGCTTCACTACTCTTCGATGAAGGCTTAATATGGTGCTTCACTACTCTTCTGTGAAGGCTTAAGATTATTTGCTTCACCATTCTTCGGTGAAGGCTTAAGATGATTGCTTCACTACTCTTTAGTGAAGGCTTCAAATGGATCGCTTCACTACTCTCCAGTGAAGGGTTAAGATTATTTGCTTCAGTACTCTCAAATGAAGGCTTAAGATTGACTTGCCCCAATCTCATGTGTGTAAGTCCTTCCAATCGATCGATTCACTTCTTCATACACAAAAATCTTTGTTTTTCTTCTATATCTGATGGTTATCACTTCAGAGTAATGCTTCTTCTGTGGATTAGACCTCTCAATTCTTCAGGGTATGCCTCTCTAAACGCAACTCCTTACGTTTGAGGCTTGAAATCTTCCTTTCAACTTAGGATTTGAACATCTAACATCTTCTCTTTCCAATGGAAGACTTTTCAAAATCATGTGTTTATGCATGAAACACGAATGCAATTAGATGTATCAATGTAATGCATTATCTTTTATGCAAATGATGTTCTCATGAATGCATAAATGTCGATTAAATCTTCATTTTCCTTCAAAGTGGCAAACTCAGTCTTCTTCTACTTGATCACTCTTTCCTGGGTCTACTTCATATACCCGTGTAGCAACTCACAATTTTTTAATTTGCAATTTGAAAGAGCTCTCTGATCTTCTTCTATATTCTTGTCGTCTTCGTTTTCTATCTTTATTTTGGATAAAGCGTTTTCTCTCTCAACTTCTTGCTATGGTCATGAATATGAATGTGTTGCCCCATTTTCGTCATTGGCTCAAATTCGCTTTCAGAGTTGTTCTTCCAGGACTCTTCCATTGATCAATGCTCAGTTATTTTATTTTACAAGATAAGCTTTGCTCAAATTCAAGGTCTACCCCTGACACTTCAAGTTGGGAGACTCATTCTTAATGACTTCTTGGTCTGAATCTTGTTTTCTCTTCATGACGTGGGTTCAGTCGTGCCCCAACCTTATCTTATACTGGTACAAGCCTTCAAAATGCCCCATCACCTCAAATTGTAAGGCACATTCTTCAAGCCTCCTTGGTCTGAATCTTGTCATCTCAACATGATGTGGGTTCAGTCGTGCCCCCACATTATCTTATACTAGCACGAGTCTTCAAAATGACCCATCACCTCAAATTGTAAGGCTCATTCTTCATGTCTCCTTGGTCTGAAAGTTATCATCTCAACATAATGTGGGTTCAGTCGTGCCCCAACATATCTTAACATGAATGTTCTCATTCCGGTGTCACTACATAATAGTGTTGTCAAATAGTTTGAGGGCTTCTCTGCATGTTGCCATAAACACTTAAGAAGTTATCAATTTTTCTAACCAAATATCATGCATTTTATACAAGTTGTTATATGTGCCCCTTTTGAACAATGAGGTCATCTCCTTCTTGATCGGTTACTGACAACGTCACAAGGAAATGTTTCTAGTTCTATCATTCATCCGTTCTAATCTCTCGGACCATCTGCTTCAAGATTACGGAATGCTTCATATCCTAGAATTGCGTATTCTTCTTCTCCAATGGAGGCATAATGAGCCTCACCAGCTTCAAGGACCTTTTACATTTGAACTGTCATGTTTGAAAATGTTTTTCTTCTTTATCCTATTTCAAAGATCAAAGAATGAAAATTTTATAAAACATTGCCCCTTAATTCAGGCTCGCAATCAAATCAAATCATAGACATGATTTCACCAAATATCAAAAGAATCAATAGCTCTTTAATGTTTTTCAGGGTTATAGCTCTTTGACAAGTGTCAAAATTGAGGGGTTGGCTTCAGGTTGGCTTCCTATTTTCTAAGGTTTCGACCACCGGAATGTTATTTCTTTCTTGATCATTGTGAATATCGCAACATGCCTTTCTTTCTTGGCTAGGTATTTTAATCGGATACAGACAAAATGATAAAACTAGCATAATAAATTACTAGACTTTCTAGAACACTTCCATTTCAGTTCTCTGAAATCTTTCATTTGTTCAAGATTCATAAGCTCCTCTAACAAAGGCAGAGGAGAAATATCGGTCTAAAAATGAAATTTCTGAGTGCTCGTGTGAAATTGACTATAACAGGTGTTCCTTAACTCTCTTAGTCCATCTTTACCGAAACTCCTTATTCATAAAATTGATTTAATTTTCCATTTTCTGGCTAGCTGAAATCAGCTTTATTGTAATTTGCCTTTATCAGGATAGCTGAAGGATTCATCTCATCACAAAGTCTTTGACTTGACAATCACAGTGGAGCATACACCGAATTGCCAGGTACCCGATCAAGGTCATGGTTTGAATATAATCTATTCATAAAGCCAGGGCATTCGAGTTTCCTCTATGACCAATTGCCTTAGCGGAATAGCTTAACTTTATTGTATACACATATATTATATATATATATTGTTGGGTATGCGGATTCAATTTTTTAAGCTTGTTAAGAAGAACCTGTCATAGTCTAGGTGTTGATGAAAGTCAGAAAATCTCATCGTTAGAGTTCAATTTCCAAGCAATTGACCTAAACTAGATTCACCTACTCGACTATTCTGTCCATAAAGATCATAATCATCATCGAACGTCGTCAACAAAAGTATGGTCTAGACAGTTTTGTAATATCATACACAAAAGATACCCCATGTGTCCACTCCTATGCATACCCGAATACCAAGCCTATGGTTCATTTCCTTATTATAGAAGAATGTTATATCGGTCCCTGCAATAAAAAGGTATGGTGTTCGATTGTATCTTCTGGGGATATGGTCAAGGTCCTTGTTTTATCAGGTTTCAACCCTGTCATTTTGTCAAAGATTTATAACTCTAATCAATAGAGAGCTTTTAATTCAATTGATATTCAAAGAAGTTCAAGTCATAATTTTGATTCGATGTTCACCATCCTTAAAGTAACATGAATTCATTTAAATATCATTACAAAAACTGATGAGAAAGTCCAAAAAACATTTTCAAACAAGATGTTGCACACAACATAAAGTTTCATGATGAATGAAATGATTTTTGCGCAGTTAAGATGCCCCATTATTCCTCTGATGCAGTGGTGTTTGATTTGATCGGGTGCTACATATTGTGCTCTGGTGCCCCACTTGAGCTCGTCATCTATTGTTTCACCAATTCTTGTGTCAACGTCCCATTTTCCACAAGCATCTCTATCTTCTTCAACAGCGGTCTACAATTTCTCGTAGAATGCCCCAATACCTCCAAGTGAAAATCACAGACACTATCTTGATCATAGCTGTGAGTAGAAGGGTATGGATGCACTTTCACTAGCCTCGATGTGAGGTATTGACCTTTAACCAAATGGGGATACAAATCTGAGATAGAAGTTTGGAACACTTTCAAAGTATTTTTTGATCTTGGGACTTTCTTTGGACGACTCGAGTAACTTGCTTCCCCTTTCCTTTTACGGCTATGGGAGCTCTGGACGTGACATTCATTCACCTTATCAGCTTTTCCATCTTGGACGGTTGGACGTTTGAAAGTGACCTTCAAGTTTCCTTTGTTGATTGTATCTTCAATTGACTCTCCAGCCAGCATAAGATCCTTAAATCCATTTGTTGAGCTTCCCAGCATTAACTCAAAGAAAGGAGCTGGGAGAGAATCGTGAAACATATATGATATTTCTTCTTCTAACAAAGGAGGCTGAACTTGTGCTGTCACCCCTCTCCATCTTAGGGCTTATTCTTTAAAGCTCTCAATAGCTTTCATCCTTATCCTTTTAAGGTCATGACGTTTTGGGGCTAAGCCTTTAACATATTGATATTGCCCCAGAAAAACATCAG